TTTTTAGCTCAGTACAGTGCCATGCAAAATTAGTTCCAGAAATGGGTCAAAAGAAACCAAGTACATCTGCAAATATATTACTTTTACCATTCTAGCATAATAGAGCTTTTCATTTGAACTTCTGTTTCAGTCACAGGAAAACGGAGAGAAGGCAAGATTGTTAGGCAACAGATCTCTGGAATATTCTATGGAAACTTCTCTTTTAGAAAACAGTGGTGTTCAGCAATAAACTCACATTCCAAAATCACTAAGAGAAACAGATTTCATACATATGAGTTATAATTTATAAATAGTTTCAGATATCAAACCTACATCAAGGCAATCCTGGCTCATACAAGCTTTCTAACTTTATTAGAGGAAGGTCTGAATCCCCCTGGCAAATATTCACCAGTCAACAAACATTTAGAGGTACTTACCCCGTGCCCAGCACTGTCAGGCACTAGGGATGGTAACGCAAAGAGAACCCAGTTCCTGCCCTCACAGAGCTTAGCAATAGTAATGAAAACTGTCAGACCTCTGCCACCTGTGTGTTATATAGTATCTCAAATCAGTAAGGTTTCAAATCTTAAGAGACAAGGAAATTAAAATATATCCACCCCCATTTTAGAGATGGGATGGCGGAGATCAAGACTATGAAGTGATTCTCCCTGAGCCACAGAAAGTGGTTGGTCACACCAAACTTCACACTTTTGCCACTTTGTATTTTCAGTGTCTTGTGTAGTCTCTTATCTTCACCTCTGTTCTAGTCTACGAGAATATTTCAACTTTATGGGTATTGGCTTTATTCCATACGCTGAACTATTTCGATGGGTAAGACTAAAGGAGGCCTTAAAGAATTTTCTAACAGACCCTGGCTCAAGTTTTCCAAGGAAACAAGAGTATCTCTAGAGGAAATAATTTTTCTTAGAGAAAAATATTGGTAGTACACTCATGTGCACAGCAGCATTGCTCACAAGAGCCAAAACATGGAAGCAATCCAATATCCATTAACAGAAGAATGGCTAAGCAAAATGTGGTATATACGTACAATGAAATAGTCTTTAGCCTTTAAAAGGAAGAAAATTCTACCACATGGTATACCATGGATGAACCTTGAGGCTATTATGCTAAGTGTAATAAACCAGTCACAAAAAGACAAACCGATATGAGGCATCTAGAGATTCACAGAGACAAAAAGTAGAATGGTGGTTGCCAGGGGCTGGGGGAAGGGGTAAATGGCGAGTTGGTTGATGAGTGTAGCATTTCGGTTCTGCCAAATGAAAAAGTTCTGGAGAATGGTTGCTCAGCAATGTAAATATTCTGAATACTATGAAACTACACACTTAAAAATGGTTAAGATAGCAAATACTATGTTATGTGTATTTTACCCCAATTTTTAAAAAACAAACAAACAAAATCCCATACTGGTACTTACCTCATTATGATAAAGTTTTAACTTTTTAAAAAATTTTCTTAATGGCTTCTGTAATTGATAGGAACAGGATCTCTTGGTGCTATTAGGGGAAATCAAAGATTTTTCTGTGATGTTTTTGTCAACCATCAGGAAATTTTTAAAAATGCTTTCAATGCCATGGCCTATAGGCTTCAGATTATTTTTAGAAATTAAAATGAGTAACTCTGTGTTCTAAAAATTACAGTTAGGCAGTGAGATAGATAAAGTCTTCCTGTGAGCCTGGAGCTAACCTTGCTATGTTTTGTGTTCACCTTTGGGAAGTATGCAGAAGCAGAATAAACTCATATCATCCCGCCTGTCTGATGTGTTTTTACATTTGAAAACTATATGCCATATATATGTACCATGGAACAAAACCTTGGAATGCATTAGCAATTTACCCCGACATTCGATTTCTAGATTTTTAAGAATCTCTAGTTTTATCCACCATCACAGCTTCTTTATTCAGTCAAGGTTCACAGGGCATTCAATTTGAAGCATCCAAAAAAGCATGGGGTCTAAAATAGGGCTGCAGTTAAATGCCAGGGTTGATTACTAAGGAATGACAGATGGCATCCTTCCTATTCCTTACTGACGACAGCCTGAAAGGAGCTGGAACCCTGACTGGAGATAAGCGTCTGCCCCTTCATCCGCTCTGCATTCATTTCTCACAGTCCTCAATCACATGTTTTAGAAGCTGGGTTTTTTTCCATCGTATAGTCTGCCTAGTTAATGTAATGCAGTTAACTAGTAGAAAATGATCTAAACAAATATTTCAAAGTTCAGGGTAGAAATCCATTTATTAATTTTAAAATGTTTATTACAATATCTATTTTTATGACCTAAGAAACCCCTTATACTCTTTTAAGACAAGAAAGAATTAAGAATTATGATTGGAATCTTTCAAAATCTGCATCTGTAATGACCACCTGAATTGAACTTAAGAATCATTTTCGATTTTCCAAAATAATGTTCTTTCATGAAACAAGTTATCTGAAGGGGCAACAGGATGGCTGGGACAAAAGGCTTGGTATATTATCAAAAGACTCACTGAGTGACAATTGTCTCCCTTTGATACACCAAGGGCTTACTTAGTGCACATCTGAAACATCACACAATTCTAAAATCCCAGACTGATTTGCCTGTCACCCCTTCTCCTCACATCAGCTGCTTCTTCCCATAAAATTCTTCCAGGGAAAGAATTTGGACTTAACTGGCTTTATAATTATTTTCCTCCTCCCTGTACCCAGCACAGAGCCTAGCAGATAGTAGAAACTCATTAAATGACTCCTGAATGAAACAAACTAACTTTAACTTTGATATGACAATATATATTGGTCAACATATGTGGACAAAATATTTCAGAATGAAAAAAGAAGTGAAATGCAAACATTTCCCACTTGTAGAACTTTCCCTCATTAACTAGTGTTCAATTTCTATTTCCAATAAAATGCCTTTAGTATCAAAGTTACTAATTATGTCATCTAAGACTGAAAGATGTGAAGTGCCATTGTCACTTTTTGAAAGGAGAAGGCCCTCACGGGAATATCTACATCTTTGAGGGTGGGGAGTGGGGCAATTTGGGAGTCCCAGGAAACCAATATAACTGAAATTAAACTTCAATTTCTCCAACTTATTTCAAAAGTATTTGAAAGGAGTAATGGGGTAATGCAGATTTCTCCATAAACCAGCTGAGCAATTTCTCATTCATAGCAATATGGGATAAAATGCAGAATTCATTTTCAGAGGTGGAATGCAAAAATACAGGCTCAAACTGCAGCTGACCTTGATGAATTAAGAAAATACGGAAAATCAGTTACTGAAATTTGGCTATTTCTATAGATCTCCCACGCCTCCCCAGTTACATCATATTGAAATAAAGCCATTTTGGAGAAAAACCCAATTACCATGGAAATATTTATCTTTAACCTAGTTTGCACCCACTTAATATTTCCCCAGCAGTGCAGGAGAGTAAAATTCAAAGTCTATGGCTCATATAAAAGCCTCCTAAAAAAAATAAGTAAATTCGACTAATTGAAAATACTTCTTTGTTTAAAATAATGAAACCTAGGCCAAGAAAGGGAAAAATACTCTTCACAGAACTTAATTTCTGGAATCTAGCTGTTTTACACAGCAGTTTTCATTAACATGAACACTGAAAAAAATTACATTTTCCCAAAAATAAAGACAACGAATCACTACCCCACTCACGCACAAAGTTCCAAGAACGAGAGCAAAACATGTATATATCCTCACTGCAAAACATTTTTTAACACAAGAGCATTTGCTATTTCCTTACCTCGAGTGCAGAAGATTGCAGTGGGGCTAGCCGATTTATTTGCTTGCAGCCTGGTTCTCATAGAACAGAAGGGGCGTCTCGCTTGCTCATGTTCTGTTTGTTTGTTTTTGTTGTTGTTGTTTGTTTGTTTGTTTTCTAAACCCAGCAGCGTGCATCCAACCTGCCTCATACGCTGAGCGATTAACCTGAAAAACACACCGCCCGCAAAGTGAGTGCCTGAAGCAGGGTACAGTCGCCGGGTGGCCGCCCCTCCCTCCCGGTGACGCTCCACTTCCTGTTAGACTAAAAGGCAGTTCCCAAGAAGCTCGGTTTTGTAGTTTCCGGCCCACTTCCAAAAAAGCCAGTCCTCCTTTTCCCCCATTTCTTCCCCAAGGTAACAACTTTTAATCATTCACGTGATGGGCCACCTGACCTAATCCCATCAGTTTTCCGGAAAGGCGCCCGCAGGAACGTTCCAACGACTGTGGGTGCCCGGGACAAGCCCGAGAGCTCGCCTCTGCGCCCCGCGCGTCCTCCCGCACCAGCGGCTGGTCAGCTCCTACAGCACCTCCCTCAAAGGCGCAGGGAGGGTCTGACAAGAATTACAGCCGCCACTGCGGCCCCCGGGATGACCTGGAAGTGAAGGGGACCTGCACGAACTCGAGAGTTTTGAGGGGCTCGCGGATTGAGACTGTCCGGGAGGCGATGCCTTACCCAAACCTCAATTCCAACACGGTCTTTCTCTTTAAAGGGCTTCTTCTGGATTCATTTAACATTCTTTCGAAAGGCATGTATTGATTGCCTCACACTTGGCCGTACGGAAGGCCAGGCTCTGTTTTCGGGGGACTGGCGTACTAGGACTTGGGTGCCCCCCGAGTTCCCCCAACAAAACCATCACTTGCGCTCCCTGCAGACTGGCGGCTGCAGTACAGGTTGCCGCCTGGGTTCTAAAGCATTGCCATCTCAGACTCCGGGATTTAATGCCAATAGGGGGAAATGGCGAAAGGGCAGGCGCTGGACGCCCGCGCATCCGGGAATATCAGTGGTAGGCGGTCGGGGTGGGCGAGAGCGGGCCTCCAGCCTCCCAGCTATCCCAGTCTGTGGGCCGCCACCTTGGGATTTTATTCGTGCCTACATCTCAGGGAGGCTCACTAACTACCCAGCAGTTGCCACCTTTTTCTGCCCCCTGCTACCTCTTAGCAGGTCCCACCCCGCCCCCGCCGTAAGCCCCGCCCCCGCCGCGCTGGCTCCGCCCCCGGCCCCGCCTCCCCCTTTCGCGTCCCAGGACGCGTTGCGCGGCCCGGGCCGGAAGTCGGCGAGTTCCCGGGTGTGTGTCTGTGTCTGTCTGTGTCTCGAAGCGGCGCGCGGCCCGGGACAAACGCTGGGGAATCCCGTCTGAGGCGTCACCACTGTTACTGCCATCACCCACGGATCCACTTCTAGAGGGGAGTAGACCCGGCCTTTCGCCGGGCAGAGAAGATGTTGCCCCTGTCCATCAAGGACGATGAATACAAACCACCCAAGTTCAATCTGTTCGGCAAGATTTCGGGCTGGTTTAGGTGCGGGGTGATATTTTTGCTGGAAGGGGGTATCCGGTCGAAGGGGAGAAGGCCCAGACCTAAGGATGGCCCGAGGTCCAGGGCGGGAGCGTCAGGGACAGCTTCCTTCGCTGTGAGGAAAGGAGCGTTTGGACTGGGAGGGTCTTGAAAGGGCACCCAACCTCCGGGTCCTGGCACCCCTTTGACTCCCGCCTCTTCTCCACTTATCACTCCCAGGTCTATCCTGTCGGACAAGACGTCCCGGAACCTGTTTTTCTTCCTGTGCCTGAACCTCTCTTTCGCTTTTGTTGAACTACTCTACGGCATCTGGAGCAACTGGTAACCAAAAGGGAAAAGCAGGGCGGAAGCAGGGGGTGGGGGAAACGAAGCAGTTTGCTTAGTGCCACGTAGCTCCTCACCAGGAGGTTCAGGTCTTGCCTTTGCCATTCAGCTCTGCTGCTGAGTTGCTTTCTCAATTTCACACCAATCTGGAAAGGCTACTTTGAAGATCCGGGGCCCATCATGTGCAGTAGCATTAAGATTTGGGTCCCGCCCTCCCACCCCTCCCGTCAAACAAGAGTGACAAGTCTCCTTCATTTTTGCTGATAGTCATCCTTGACTACAAACCTTAGCTTTGCTCACTTTCTTGAAATTGGGAGAAACCTGTTTCCTGCCTCTTTGGGGGTGGGAGTGTTCCTTGCTTCCCTCGTGAGGGAGTGGCATTTGGTTTTCACCCTTAAGATTCCGAGAGGGAATATCTGAGATGTTCAGCTTAATTTATTAGGTCTTGGGATGGGAAAGGGCTTTATAAAGGGTATACCCAGAGAAATAGGTTACAACTGTCTCATGATTTTCCTGATTTTGACTGCAGTAGAAAATCCCATATAGTTTTCTACAAACTTACATCTCTTGAATTGATGGGTTTGTGTGTGCCATCTTTGGGTTTGTTTGTTTTTGAAACTTCCTTAGGAAGAGTAAAATTCAGGGATTCTGTAAATGAAGCACTGTTGTCTGGGTATTTGCTGTTGAATAACGTAGGGGCTTGTAAAATTCTTCAGCTAACAATAAGATCATTACACTTCTAAGTGTGCTGAATGCTCTTTAAATCTCACACTCATATGAGAATCTGATAAAAACCAACACTTAAAATTTTATATAAAACTTCAGGGTGATACTGTGTTCCTTGAAATACATCTTGAACAGCTTAAGAACTCATGCCATTTATACTTTATTTTCTATTAATTAGAGTTAGTCTTTTTCCTTAGTCCATTTTCAGAGACTTTCTGTCCTTGATCTTAATCTCTATTAAGAATGAACAATGAGGGGCGCCTGGGTGGCTCAGTGGGTTAAGCCGCTGCCTTCGGCTCAGGTCATGATCTCAGGGTCCTGGGATCGAGCCCCGCATCGGGCTCTCTGCTCAGCAGGGAGCCTGCTTCCTCCTCTCTCTCTGCCTGCCTCTCTGCCTGCTTGTGATCTCTCTCTGTCAAATAAAAAAAAAAAAAAAAAATTAAAAAAAAAAAAAAAAAAAAAAAAAAAAAAGAATGAACAATGATATTAAATAAGATCACCATTTTTTGTGACATTTACATTTTTGTGTGAAAAAGTGGACTTCTTTTCAGTTCAGATGTCAACTCAATTTTATAAAAAATACTCAGTACATTATGAAGGTTATTGATCTAGTCACCTCTTTAAAAGGCATATTGAAACATAACAAAATCTTAGTATACATAATAACCACTTTAAATCCTTTGGGAAGCTGATATAGGTATCCTATAATAGGACTATCGTTCGATGTATTGTGTGTATTAAAAGCACTATGATGTAAATCAAGCTTTATTATAAATATACAGTATTTATAATTTATTTTGCTCTTCTTAAATTATGCCATATCGTGGCATATGTACTAACTGTATCAAGACTATAACTTGGTTTGCATATGTACACTTTAGCTACAGTTACTTTATATTATAATACACTGTCTTTCATTATGGCCTTCCATGCATAAATTACTGTGTGAAATGTCTTGATCAAGGAAATTATATTTGAAGTGCCTAAACCACTTCTTTCATGGAAAGTTAAGTGTAAAGTAAATTTTTGATCTGTAGAGGTCTATTGAGGAAATTATAGTTGACCTTTGAACAACATGGGGATTGGAGCATGAACCTTGTACAGTCAGAAATCTATGTATAACTTTTTTTTTTTTAAGATTTTTTTTTAATTTATTTATTTGACAGAGAGAGATCACAAGTAGACAGTGAGGCAGGCAGAGAGAGAGAGAGGGAAGCAGGCGCCCTGCCGAGCAGAGAGCCCGATGCGGGACTCGATCCCAGGACCCTGAGATCATGACCTGAGCCGAAGGCAGCGGCTTAACCCACTGAGCCACCCAGGCGCCCCTTCTGTGTATAACTTTTGACTCCCCCCCAAAACTTAACTTCAAATAGCCTACTATCGGCCATAAGCCTTAGTGATAACATGAACAGTTGATTAATATGTATTTTGTATATTATATGTATTATGCACTGTATTCTTACAATAAAGTAAGCTGAAGAAATCTTATTAAGAAAATCATAAGGAAGAGAAAATACATTTATGGTACTATAATGTATGGAAAAATATCTGTGTATAAGTGGACTCCAGCAGTTCAAGCCTGTGTTGTGCATAGATCAACTGTACTAAAACCATTGTTTTCCAAGCCATTTGTCTGCATGCATCAGTACATAAGAAAAACATCAGTGGTACATGACTTTTTCTTCTGCCCTTTAGTGGCTTGTTCTCCTGACCTTAGGATCTCTTTTCCTCCAGTTTACTCTCTCTGATTGTGTTATTATATCTTCCACGTTTGAAATCTAGCTCTGAACTAGTATTTGTCATACCTAAATCATTTAGTAGGTATTCATCATTATGTTAACCTCCATATCCATAACCACTTATTCCCTAATACTAATTTTTTTTAAGGATTTTATTTATTTGATAGACAGAGATCACAGGTATGCAGAGAGGCAGGCAGAGAGAGAGGAAGGGAAGCAGGCTCCCTGCTGAGCAGGGAGCCTGATGCGGGGCTCTATCCCAGGACCCTGGGATCACGACCTGAGCCCAAGGCAGAGGCTTTAACCCACTGAGCCACCCAGGCGCCCCCTAATACTAAATTTTATCAGAGGAATGAGAGTCCAGTACATAGCTGTTGAAGCCTTGGCATATTTAAAAATTGCTTGGGCCTTGTCATAATCTGGATTTCTATGTCTTATTCAAATATTATAGTTTTTAGTCCCTTCTGTTGACTGATCAACAGTTTCTTTATTTGACTAGATTATCTCTGTTCCTGAAGTTTCAATTACATTTTAAGTTGCTTGAAAAAAAGACCTCACCAAAATTTATTTTATTGTAGTCATTTTTGTGTTCATTTTCATTCTATAAAAATTAAGCTTCAAGATGTTGTGAACATGAAATGTCAATTTTTTTTCTATTATGGAATTAAAAGATGGATAAAACATGCTCTCTCTTTACAAAGGTTTATGGAAACAGTTGAACTAGTTGCAAAAAATGTTAAATAGTTCTGTTTTTTATTTAGAGACTTTATTTTTTTTTAATTATTTTTTTCAGTGTTCCAAAATTCATTGTTTATGCACCACACCCAGTGCTCTATGCAATACATGCCCTCCATAATACCCACCACCAGTCTCACCCCACCCTCCACCCTACCCCCTCCAAAACCCTTTGTTTCTGAGTCCACAGTCTCTCCTGGAGACTTTATTATTTAAAGGAAGAAGTTAGGCCATTCGGTTAGGTGTCTCATTCAGTTAGGCATCTGCCTTTGGCTCAGGTCCCCTGACCTCAGGGTCCTAACATCAGGCTCCCTGTTCAGTGGGAAGTCTGCTTTTTTTTTCTCCCTTTTTGTGCATGCATTTTCTCTCTCTCTCTCTCTCTCTCTCTCTCTCAAATAAGTAAATTAAAAAAAAAAATGAAGAACTTAGTTATAGTTGGTTTATATTTTTGATGGTGGGAATGTGTCATCAGTGGAAGACTAGCTAAGCTCTTTGTGTATTTTTCCACCATTAAATATCCACTGCTTTTTATTTTTCCACTAGAATGTAAACTTTATTAAAGTATGGATCTTTTCTGTCTTATTCAGGCACCTCAGTGCATGGCACATAGTGTGCTTAATACATATTTGCTGAATGAAGAATGAGGAAATAATGAATATATGGAATTAATCTACCTACACTAAACATACTAACTAGCCCTAGTAGAGGGGAGAAATCATTAAACTCCTCTTTTCTCTTATTCTTTGAAGTTGGTAGGAAAATAGTAGGAATACCATATATGATATTTCATTCTATAGGGTTTTTTCCTTCTAGCATTTTCATTGCTATTTATTGTTGAGTAACTACTAAATCTCAATATAGTATAAGTATGTGTTTTTTTTTTTAATTTTATTTATTTGTTTTACAGAGAGAGTGAAATAGGGAGAGAGGTAATACAAGCAGGGGAAGTGGGAGAGGGAGAATCAGGCTTCCTACTGAGCAGGGAGCCCGAGGACCCTGGGATCATGTCCTGAGCCAAAGGCAGATGCTTAACAACTGAGCCATCCAGGTGCCCCAAGTATGTGGTTTTGTACAAAGATTAAGTTCTTTCTGAAATTACAGAAAAATCTCCAAATAATGATTTCTTAAATAAGACAAAACTTTATTTCCAGGATGGCTATTAGAGTTCCAGCCATTCCTAGCAGCAGATTGTTCAGAATGGAGAGAAAAACTGATAAAAAGTGTATATAGTGTCTTTTAAGGAGATTTATCTGGACAGACATAGAGCACTTTGACTTATATTTCAGTGGCTAAACCTTTATCATTTTGGTCATGCCTGGTTGCAAATGTCTTTGTTCCAGTAAAACTGGTATCCTGCTGAAAGTCAAAGATTCTTTGCTAGGAAAGATACTGTAGGCTCAGGAAGTGGGACTAGAAAGAGTTAAGCTAGTTTGACTTTTATAAATAGAAAACTGAGGCCCAGAGTTTTTTTCCCCTAGAGTAACAAGAGAGCCTAGAAGCACCTCTCATTGTTTTTGTTTTTGTTTTTCCACTACACACGATTTTTTTTTCTAGTATCTCAGTATAGTTTCCTTTGTTCTTACTCTGTTTTATTTTATGTGTACTTCACTGTCTGTTAGAAAATTTAATTTCACTAATTTTTTTTTTTTTTAAGATTTTATTTATTTGACAGAGAGAGATCACAAGTGGGGAGAGAGGCAAACAGAGAGAGAGAGAGGAGGAAGCAGGCTCCCTGCAGAGCAGAGAGCCCGATGTGGGACTCCATCCCAGGACCCTGAAATCATGACCTGAGCTGAA